GGTATTTTGAAAACAGAAACGTATAAATATACCTTATATAGGTATGGCCCTACAATATATCATTTAAATATAGAATGATAGGTCCACTTTAAATTAGTTCAAAGACTAAAGAACTGGCAAAACCACAAAGAAACGCATCACTAAAAAAACTGGTTTGGATATTTAAAAAGACAAAACTGACATTACTTACTCATATTTGAACATATGAACATCAGAAGGAGAGGACTCTTTAAAGTAGAGACACTACATACTGATATACCAACACAGTCTCACGGCATTTCGTGTTATAGTCACGAAATTAATCTATTGATTTGTGTTCACCAACACGATTTCACCATTTTTTTCGTGTCACACAGAACGATTTTTAAAGCAATGTAAATAATAACAAATTAGAAGGAAAAAAAGATGACATAAAATCCAGATGTCAGTATTCTGAGGCTCTGAGCCATTTCTTTTTCTCACTGACGGCAAAAAAACTCCGACATTATACAATTTAAAATAAAAGGGATAGGGTTAGGCTTAGGGTAAGATATTGAGTAAGAACATGTTTTTATGAACCACACAGCTTCTGGTCTTCCAAGACCCGACCGGACAAAAAGACGTGTTGCAGGCACGAAACATACTACCAATAGAAATATATTGCATTTAAAATCGTTCTCTGTGACACGAAAAAAAGGTGCAAAAATCGTGTTGGTGAACACGAATCAATAGATTAACTTAATTCCTTGACTAATAACACGAAATGCCGTGAGACTGGGTTGGATATACACCTGAACATCAGCAGGAGAGGGACTCTTTAAAGTAGAGACACTACATACTGATATACACCTGAACATCAGCAGGAGAGGACTCTTTAAAGTAGAGACACTACATACTGATATACACCTGAACATCAGCAGGAGAGGACTCTTTAAAGTAGAGACACTACATACTGATATACACCTGAACATCAGCAGGAGAGGACTCTTTAAAGTAGAGACACTACATACTGATATACACCTGAACATCAGCGGGAGAGGACTCTTTAAAGTAGAGACACTACATACTGATATACACCTGAACATCAGCAGGAGAGGACTCTTTAAAGTAGAGACACTACATACTGATATACACCTGAACATCAGCAGGAGAGGACTCTTTAAAGTAGAGACACTACATACTGATATACACCTGAACATCAGCAGGAGAGGACTCTTTAAAGTAGAGACACTACATACTGATATACACCTGAACATCAGCAGGAGAGGACTCTTTAAAGTAGAGACACTACATACTGATATACACCTGAACATCAGCAGGAGAGGACTCTTTAAAGTAGAGACACTACATACTGATATACACCTGAACATCAGCAGGAGAGGACTCTTTAAAGTAGAGACACTACATACTGATATACACCTGAACATCAGCAGGAGAGGACTGAACATCAGCAGGAGAGGACTCTTTAAAGTAGAGACACTACATACTGATATACACCTGAACATCAGCAGGAGAGGACTCTTTAAAGTAGAGACACTACATACTGATATACACCTGAACATCAGCAGGAGAGGACTCTTTAAAGTAGAGACACTACATACTGATATACACCTGAACATCAGCAGGAGAGGACTCTTTAAAGTAGAGACACTACATACTGATATACACCTGAACATCAGCAGGAGAGGACTCTTTAAAGTAGAGACACTACATACTGATATACACCTGAACATCAGCGGGAGAGGACTCTTTAAAGTAGAGACACTACATACTGATATACACCTGAACATCAGCAGGAGAGGACTCTTTAAAGTAGAGACACTACATACTGATATACACCTGAACATCAGCGGGAGAGGACTCTTTAAAGTAGAGACACTACATACTGATATACACCTGAACATCAGCAGGAGAGGACTCTTTAAGTAGAGACACTACATCAGCAGGAGAGGACTCTTTAAAGTAGAGACACTACATACTGATATACACCTGAACATCAGCAGGAGAGGACTCTTTAAAGTAGAGACACTACATACTGATATACACCTGCACATCAGCAGGAGAGGACTCTTTAAAGTAGAGACACCCCCCCCCCCAGCTGAAATAATAATGTCATCATGATCCAGCTGCAGGTGGAGATCAGATACTCCTCTAATTAAACAAATTCCTCACACACACACACACACATAGCTGAGACGTTAAATAACAGGCTGCTGACAGGAAGCATGTGTGTGTGTGTGTGTGTGTGTGTGTGTGTGTGTGTGTGTGTGTGTGTGTGTGTGTGTGTGTGTGTGTGTGTGTGTGTGTGTGTGTGTGTGTGTGTGTGTGTGTGTGTGTGTGTCAGACACCTGCAACAACGCCTCCTTTGATAAAGTTGTGTGTCCAAATTCAACTAATTTAAATCCCCTGAAAAACATCTTTAAGCCAAAACTGTTTACCTTTATTATACTATATAGTAAATATAGATAATTATATATTTATCTGGTTTTATCCAAAGTTATTTTCTTCATGTACGCCTAAACAAACATACAGTCTCTCTCTCATTAGAGTTTATGTTCTGACGTTTGAAACCCAGATCCAACTCATTGTAACGAACAGCCTTTCATGAATCTCACGCTTCACTTCTTCCTGTCAGCTCGTCTTTGAATAAACTAAGAAAACAACAACTAATAATAATTCTATGCATTCTCTCTTATCACATTGGTTCCTGTTCAGACATCAGTACAAGTTGAAGAGATTCTTTACATGTCAAAAAGAGGTCAAAAGACTCAGAGATGAATCCCCTCTCTGTTGACCTCTCTTTGATATGTAAAGAATCTCTTCAGCTTGTTCTGATGTCTGAACAGGAACCAATGTGCTAAGAGAGAATCAGCACATCTGACAAGTTTACATGTTGAGTTGACAGAAAACACTAAATATTTACATGATGAAGTTGTTTTTGTGCATTTAAAAATAGTTTTAAAGGCGAGTTCAGGACAGTAAAAAAGAACAGGGCTCATTTTCTCCCGACACTAAACACAACTCACGAAACCACACACACCCAACGCGCAGACCGCCTCTACGTCCTGCAGCATGAAGCACGACTCCATCAACTGAGCCGAACCTAACTTCTGCTCCGAATGACACTTCACTGACAGTCCAAGACTCTCTGTCCCACCAGCTGCACACTGTGATGCTCAATCTAACACACACTCATCTATTAGGGCGTGCTGTGTGTACAGAAGTCTGCAGGTCTACACAACTATGTGCAGAAACACTCAAATACCGTTGTGTTTTTGTTAATTGGTCGGAAATGAATATATTAGTCCGTGTTTTAGACGCTGACAGAGACCCTAACTCTCCAACAGTACAGCGTAACATCACAAAGCTGCTTCTCTGCAGGTCAAACCAGACCTAAGGAAACATTAAGTGCATCACAGCATGGGCGGTGGTGGTGTCCATAGGGACTTGGCTTGGCAACTGGAAGGTCACCAGTTCAAATCCCGGCAAGACCAAGTGCTACCGAGGTGTCCCTGAGCAAGGCACCGTTCCCTACACTGCTCCCGGGCGCCGGACATAATGGCAGCCCACTGCTCCTAACACTAGGATGGGTCACATGCAGAGAAACCCTGTCGTTACATAGTAGCTGTACTACGTAACGACAATACAAGTGAAACAAAACCAAGCTGCAGTGAGTGTGATATAAAGAGGTCACAACATGTTCTACGATAAAGTCAAAAAGTGAAGTCCAGTTTTGTGGAAACAGCAAAACAAGCTGCAGGTTTTAGCAGCACGAGAAACAGATACAACAACTCTAAATGTTCTGTATTTAAATTCAGAGGATAAAGAGCCTCTGGTCTTCAGGAACTCACCACAACATGTTGTACGTTAAAGTAGAAAAGTTGAGAGTTAAAGAGTAAAGACGAGTCTGAGACAAACTGCAGCTGACAGAAAACACTCTATATTTACATGATAACGTTGATTTTGTAGATTTAAAATGTGATTTAAGGGCAAATAACGGACACCAAGTGGAGTTCACTAAAACATGTTTTACATCAACGTGTAATGTCCAGTTTATGTCAAGAAAAGTCTGGAAACACCTCAACTCGCTGCAGAGGTTTCAGAGTCTAGCAGCAAGAGTAATACGTGAAACCTCCAACACTAAATGTTAACGTCTCAGCGTCACTATTACACATTTAAAATTACATTTACTAAATAATACAGTGCCCCAAAGCTGCAGCAGATCTGCTTTACACAACAGGAGCTCACTGAAGCTTTCTCACTCCTTTCTGTGTGAAACAACTCGAGTCGCTGCAGAGGTTTCAGAGTCTAGCAGCTCGACTAATGAGTTCAACCTCCAACACTCAAGGTTTATGTCCAAAAGCTGTTTTCTGCATTTAAAATGTGAGATTTAAGGGAGAGAAAAGGCTCCAAAGCTGCAGCAGATGTCATTTAAACAACTGGAGTTCACTGAAGCTTCCTCACATCCAGTCTCAGGTGCAGTCTCAGACTTTACATGTTCATTGTTTTTCTGGAACTCCTCGACAGGCTGCAGATGTTTCAGGTTCTAGCAGCTCGACTAAAGAAGTAAACCTCCAGCAGGAACTGTTAATGTCCTAAAGTTCATTTTCTGCATTTAAAATCACTTTTCATAAAGAGTTCAGGGCACCACAGCTCCAGCTGATTTTCAGGAGAAAACAGTTTTCCCACTACACTTTAAAACGTTTAAGGTCCAGTTCAGAGTTTCAGAGTAAAGCTTTTCAGAAGACATGAACTCTCTGCAGATTGTTCAGAGCTGAGAAGAACTGAAGGTGGTTTTCTGCATTTTAGATTCCCTTTAAAGGAGGAAAGCTGCTGCAGACTGAAAGACCAGGAGCTCACAGAAACACCTCGACACTCCGCAGATGTTTCATCATAAAGTGTGCTGTTAACTCACATTAAAGGAAGAGTTCAGGCCCCCCAGCTGGAGCTTAACGCCCGGAGAAGAGTCTCTCTGCTCGGGTGAATTTCTCCGGATCTCTGATGGAGGTTTTTTTACTCACATGTTCAGAGCAGCTGGTCCTCCAGCGGAGTCATCGTCCTCTCAAAGCCCCGAAATCTGCTTCAGATCCTCCGCGCAAAGTCTCCAAAACTCTCCAAAACTCTCCAAAGTGTCCAAACCAACAAACCGACAGCGCGTGCACAGAGTGTCCGCGGCGGTGCTTCTCTGACCGGGACCTCCCGGCGGGGCGGGGACAAAACGGGAGGGGTGTTTTTTTCCAGTTTGTTTTTTTCAACTTTATGGAACGATGACTTTGTTGTTATTGTCATTATTATTGTTGTTATTTTATTTGTATTATTATTTGCATTGATAGATAAGAGAATTAACAGTTAAAAAATAAAAATATTACATAAAATATAAACAATATAAAATTATTAAAATAAAAAGTCAAAAACACAACAGGATCCAAAATACTAGAGGTCTTTTATAAGAGATTATTAAATATCACCATTCACCATTATGATTATTTATTATTTTAAACATTAGCTTAAAGTTCCCATGTCCTGCTTTTCCGGTTATTACCCGTCCTCAAAGTACACCCTGTGTTTCTCAAACTTTTTCATACCAAGGACCACTTAACCAATAAAAAAACACTAGCGGACCACCTAACTCCACAAATATCCCAAAACACATCGTTTTTCTAGAACAGATTACAAATCGCCTGAAAATGGTACAAACAAGTGGCAACATGTGTGACGAAGGTGTTGCGCTGGGCTATATCATGCAATCGAAAGAAACTTGGCTCGCTCCATTGCGGAGATATTCCCGCGAGAGTGCGGAAAACTTACATTTATTTATTTATTTCAAATGTGAAATGTTACCAATATACTCACGGACCAGTAGGGGGCGCTCACGGACCACCAGTGGGGCGCTCACGGACCACCAGTGGGGCGCTCACGGACCACCAGTGGTCCGCGGACCACACTTTGAGAAGCACTGCTGTGGGAGCAGAAAAGACCTCCCCAAAACGCCTCGTTGGAGATTTCTCATTTTCCAATGTTTTCTTCCTGGGCATCGTGACGTAGGGATACCCAGTAGCCACGCCCAGAGCTATCGCCGCACCCTCTGCCAGCCGAACATATATACTGTTGGAAGCTCAGGTTCAGTTCAAAACTGTGTCCAGTCATGCCAACGAGGGTCTGTTTCCTGTCTTGTGAGGGGAAATCTTCAATGTATGCCTTACCGAGGGCAGAACCACGACGAAGTCAGTGGTTGACATTTCTTGTTAACACAGTTCCTTCAGATGTTCGAGCCGGTATTGTACTGTGTGCACGGCATTTCACGGACCAAAGCTTCGCAAACATTTCAGGATTCATGCCGGATATGCACAGCGTAGGGCACTGAAGGACGATGCTGTTCCTACTTTGTTTGGACCAGCGGGAGATTCGGGTACACAACTTGTAAGTATTCATTGTTGTTTGTGTATTCATGATGTTTAAAACAAACAAGGTATCTACCACGACTGTTTAAATGGGTAAACGTTGTTGGGGCTGCTAAGCCATTGACACAGTGCTAACTGGGCTAACTAAGTTGCTAGCGTTTCCATATATCAACTCCAATGTCAGCAGATGGCCTTACATGTATCTCATAGCAGGAGAATGTCTGCATTCACACACTAAATACTCATAGACAGTATACTCCGGGTGATTTACTGTACGGTCAGTCGCGAAAATTAATTACATTATAGTTGGCGTTCCTAGCGTGTATGCTACCGAGCTAAAAAAGAAGGCTAGCTAGAGCTAGACATGCTAGGGAAAACATTGTTTTTATGCCAGCTACAATGAATGACCGAACGTAGCAGACTACCCGTATAAGATTGCAATTGTAAACATGTTCTTGCTAGCCTAGACTAGCTGTTGTTCATAGTAGGTTGGCATATTACACTGAACAACTAGCAAACGTAGGTTAGCATATTAATCTAGCTGGCAAGCTAACGAACCTAAAACAACTACGTTTCTCTAATATTTTGTGATTTGCATTTGATTTCGTCCAGCCAGATCAGGAAACTCCTGGCGTATCCGGCGGACAACACATGACGGGATGACCACTCTGATGCCTCGTCCTAAAAAGCCCCGGCAGCCGCTTACAAAGCTGCGATAGACAAGATGCCGAAAACGCCTATAAGGGGAGGAATGGATGATATACAGTGTATATATGTATATTATTTACACATGTTCATTTTGTACATTTCTAAAAATAAAGTTTGATGGAAATATTTAGTAGCCTTTCTTCCCTGAATTATTTGCTCCTATAACATATCATTGTTGATGTTCCGCTCAGAGCCGAAAAAAGCACTGTGTTAGACATGGGCGGAGCCTCTCTGGTGGTTGACTAATCAGAACAGAGTGGCCGAGCTGACCAATCGGAGCACACTGGGCTCACAGGGAGGGGGGGGCAGGAGCTCCAACAAGGCGTTTAGGACAGAGAGTGAATACACAGACTATACAGAGATGCTGTATGAGAAACCAATGTGAGTTTGGAACATTGAACAATGTGAATCTATTTTAGTAGACCTCAACAATGGAAATATGATCAGTAGAAATGGCCGTGACATGGGACCTTTAAATCCACACCTTTTTAGAAAAAGGCTCATGACATGAAATTATACAACAAATCAGTTAAATGGTGTAAAAGTAAAAATATGTATTTAGCACGAGTTCTGATCCTGAGTCCTGGATCCTGGATCCTGAGTCCTGGATCCTGAGTCCTGGATCCTGATTCCTGAGTCCTGGATCCTGAGTCCTGGATCCTGAGTCCTGGATCCTGAGTCCTGGATCCTGATTCCTGAGTCCTGGATCCTGAGTCCTGGATCCTGAGTCCTGGATCCTGAGTCCTGGATCCTGAGTCCTGGATCCTGATTCCTGAGTCCTGGATCCTGAGTCCTGGATCCTGAGTCCTGAGTTTGGGATCCAGGATCCTGAGTCGTAAATTAACTCTGATTGATTGATTGATTGATTGATTGATATTTACCAGACAAGACCTTTTATTTTGAAAGTACTTCCCAGGGTTTAGGAGATAACTGCAGAACAATGGGCGCCTGAACGCAGCGGAGCCTCATTTGACTCCAAGCGTCACTCGTTGACTTCCTGCTGATAAAAACTGATTATTATCATCATGGTGATGAATGAAGGGAGAGCTGTGTCAGAGGAACCACAGAGAGAAGCTGCAGGGAGTCACTCAATCCTGACCTTTTTCAATATCACACTTTATTCTCAAAATCCAGACTTTTCTCAAAATTAGGATTTTTCTCAAAATTCAAACACTTTGCAAAATCCTGACTTTTTTCTAAATTCACACTTTATTCTCAAAATCCGGGGTTGCGGTCGAATAGTCCGTTTCTCTTAGGAACCTTCCTAACGGAGTGAAATGACCCGGAAGTCCCTCAGTGGCAGCCATGATAAGAGCCGTTCCAATTCTCTAGATGAAAGGAAAGGAGGTTTCAAACTTCCTTTATAACCTCCTTTAGCCTAGGAACCACTGGACCTCCCTCACCTAAAGGAGAGGAGAAAATGCTGCCCCACAATGCCTTGCGGCCGCGGCATTTGCCGTCACACAACAGTCGGCCGTTCACGGAAACAACCGATTATGAACGAGAAATGATATCATGAAAGTTACGGTGCTTATTAAGCATTTTAAAACGTATGTGGTAAGTTGCCAAAGTGCTTTGTTTTGAACGTTCATCAGTATTATAATCAAAAAGAGAAATATGAACGTGTAGTGCCGAGAGAAGGGAGACGGAGGCGGTGCATCGGAGGTGCAAATCTCTCTTTATTGAGGAGCAGAAATCGACATGCTGTCGGGTCTCAGGATGAGAGGATAAGAGAAAGTGAAAGAGGAGGACACCCAGTAGGTACCCCGGAGGTACCGTCAACATATATGTCCGGGCGGAAACAATACCCCCAACCTGTAGTTCCCGGATTGAATTATGTAACCCCAGTGTATGAATCAGTGATCACTACACAAGCCCCCCCAGAATTCAACCATGGACACAATCCTCGCGTCGGGAGGAAGCACCACAGGGGCCGAGGAGGGCGGGGCCGCCGGCGAGGGCCGGGCCATGGAACGGGCCGTCGGAAGGGGGACGCAGGAGAGGGTTGCGTCGTGGGGACAGGCGTGAAACACCCGGAGGTCCCCAGCAGGGAGGAGCGCTGCCCGGCCGCAGGCGAAGGCACAGCGGCGGCGGGCACGAAGTCCTTGGGAGGAAGGAGCCGTGTCCCCGGGAGGAGGGAGACGTGGACAGGGGAGAGGCCAGACGGGGCGCCGTCGAGGCGAACCGTGAGCCGCGGTTAGAGGAGAGGCCAGGCAGGGTCCCGAAGCGCGCCACCCGCGGGCCGATGAAGGCATGGGTGACGTTCGAAACCGCCGAGGCGAGGGAAGAGGCGAGACGGGGTCCAGAAGCGCGTCACCCACGGGCCGAAGCAGCCGCGTGACGTCCGAAGCCGCCGTCGAGGTGGTGAAACAGCGAGAGGGTCCACACGAGGTCGACCAGACATGGTCGAACCTCCTCTCAGGCACCAGAAAAAAGCTCAAAAAATTGTTGTCCCGTCCACGAATAAAAACAGGTGGGCGAAATAGCGAGAGGATCCACGCGAGGCCGACCAGACTTGATCGAACCTCCTCTCAGGCACCACAAAAAAAACAAAAACAAAAAAAACAGTCGGATGTCGATAGCCGCTGGTAGCTGCTAGTCATCGTTGGCTGTTGCCAGCTGCTAGCCGTTAGCAGTCGTGGCTAGCTGTTCTCGGCGGCCGTCAGTCGCTGGCCGGACATGCAGCCGCATGTCCCGAACAAACCCGGCACGGTCGCGTACCGGCCCCATGGAAGGCTTGCCGTCCCCCAGAGCCGAAAAGCCGTGGAAATGCGTCCATTCCCGTGGGGCGCACCGAGCCACAGTCCGAGCGCACGAGGCAGCTACGGAGGTCTCCAAAAATCCCCGGCATTTCGAGAAAAGCTGCGCTTTTTGCCGTGTACGAATCAGTCTCGGATCCTTCGCGAGACTTATGTCAGGGTCACCAATGTAGTGCCGAGAGAAGGGAGACGGAGGCGGTGCATCGAAGGTGCAAATCTCTCTTTATTGAGGAGCAGAAATCGACATGCTGTCGGGTCTCAGGCTGAGAGGATAAGAGAAAGTGAAAGAGGAGGACACCCAGTAGGTACCCCGGAGGTACCGTCAACATATATGTCCGGGCGGAAACAATACCCCCAACCTGTAGTTCCCGGATTGAATTATGTAACCCCAGTGTATGAATCAGTGATCACTACAAACGTTAGTTTTTACTGAAATGATCAAATAAAGTCAACATTTCACAGTCTTTACTGAGCTGTGTGGGGTTTGTTCAACTTTTAAAAGATGTTTGAATGGTGATATACACAGTGATAGATGTTAAGGACTAACGTTTATAATAAATACATTTGTATTGATTTTAAGATCTTTTCATACAATCATACGTATTGGGATCATTTGTATTAATGTGGACCGGAGGGAGAGGGTGACGAGCATAAGTTTCACTTTCCTTTTTTATTTCAATTCCAACTTTGGTCATGAAGAATATGTTTCTCTGTTGTCCCCGTTCATAAAGCATAACAGCATCAGAGCACGGTGCAGAGTCTCTAGATGAGTTTACAGTAGTCCCTCGTTCTTATTAAACATCCATGTTGTAGTCCGCTGTATAGAAAACTGTAGTTTCCATAGTTTCCCCACAGCAGCAGGCGCACATTCATGACGTCCGCTGGCGCATCATAAACACGTCGGATTCTCTAAAGCACCGCAGTCTCTTCTCCTAAGTCCTTTTGAATTCTCCTATCCACTATCCCTTAACCCCGTGACGTTTCACTCAGAGGTCAAGGAATAGACGATAGGGTTAGACGATAGGAGCTGATTTTTTGATTATTCGACCGCAACCTTGACTTTTCTCAAAATTCAGACTTTCCTCAAAACTCAAATTTCTTTCTCAAAATCCTGACTTCAATCTTAGAATTAAAAAAATGTTTTTGGGTCTGAACTCAAATGTATTTTCCCGTGGCCCTGATCCTCTGCCGTAGAAAAGGCTGAACAATCAAAATAAAGTTTGGTAAAGTTTAATCAAATGTCATCAATATCAGAGGAGGCACTATATTTGTTAGGAGTGTCAACATGTGTTTTAGCTTAAATGTGTTTTTATTTTAGGCTCCAACAATCAGGAGAAAACTGCAGGTTATTTGAGATGAAGTCTGGGGAATTTCCTGTTTGCCGCTGCCTGATAAAAACTAAATTACATTTTAAACCAAATAAATCTTTCACACAAAAAAAGTATTTAACAATGTCTGTCTGCAGTGGGAACCAATGGGCCACAGACAGGAAGTGGGACAGTGTTTAGAGACGGACCGACGGATTCCTCTCTCATTCCCACTCCTTCATCTTGAAGCTGATGCTATATTTCTAATGAAATGTTTTTGGAGGAAAGTTCTGGTATTTTCAAACCTTTATTGTGAAAAGCAACTTCCCTTTATTGTGAAAAGCAACTTCCCTTTATTGTGAAAAGCAACTTCCCTTTATTGTGAAAAGCAACTTCCCTTTATTGTGAAAAGCAACTTCCCTTTATTGTGAAAAGCTTCAAAGGAAGTTCCTCTTCTTCCTCACAGGCAGATTAAAAAATGTCCAAAACAAACTGAGGCTTCCCATCGAAGGTCGTTAAAGATAGAAATACTCGTAGAGGATGGAACGAATCAGAGCTTGTAACGCTCATGAACTGAGACGGAGATTTAGAAAGGGAGAAAAGTTCAGATAAAGTTTGTTTTTTAAAGAATACATAATAAACATGAATATTTCTACAGGACTCCCTCAATTAATCAGGATTGTTCATGGAGCTCGGACTAATTGAGGTTTTATTTAAATCTAATTAATTGGTAATACATTGGTGACGTTTGAAAAGTATTTTATATTATTTTTTGGTAGTTTTTTCTGTTTATCTCCTTTACCATGTTTATGTTAGCGCCATGTACACCAAGCCAAATTCCTCCTATAGATGAGAGTAACGGGGGGTTACGTATTGTAACCCTAGTTCTATAAGCACAGGCGGAGCCCTCTAGTGGACTCTATGGGTACTACTCTCATCAATGATACGCGAGCGTTCACACCAGAATGGGTCTGAAGTCTCCTGTCCTCCTGGAAACCAGGAAGTACATGGAGTAAAGCCCCTCGTCTCTGTCCTGAGAGTGCACAACAGACACAGCCTGTTTTTCCAACAGGGCCTGAATCTCTGTTGGGATGATAGATGTGCCTCCCTTACGCCCCTGAATGGAGGAGGCACGCTGCAGAACTGGAGTGAGTAACCCAGTTTCAGTGTCCTAGGCGGAGCCATGTATCTGTTAACTTACTTGGTGATAAACCTGATTCTGATTCTATAAAACGGTTTCAATAATATTGCTTTAATTTATTTTCAAAACCTGAACTATAATCAGAATAGATGAATAATAATTAATTTTATATATGAAAAAACCCACAATCCTCTCTGTTTAATGATTGATAATCACAGCTCACAGATATCATCAGAACAAAGTTTATTCATGAATGAATCTTCCATGTATTAGAGATGTTGAGTGAGTGCAGCTCAAGAACAGAGAAGTCACCGTGAACATTTCAAACTATTTTATTCAAATAAATCAACAGAGGTTCTGACAGATCTGGGTTTAAAGTCCAGAAGAACTCAAAAATCCACCAGAACAAAGAAAAGATCATCGCACACACAGAGACGGATGGAAACACGTCAAAATAAAATACTTCAGAGCAAAACAGAAAGCAGCGAGAGGACGTCTCCAGCAGCAGATTCATTAACGTTTAATTTGTGTATTTTCAGGAGCATTTTATCTGGGAAAACATGGGGTTTTAGAGACTGCTGTTGTGATTGGTCAACTTAGAGATGTCCCGCCCCTAAACCATCAATCACGTACAGAAGGTTGTGCGCTAGCCAATAGGAGGAGAGACATTTTACAGATAAGAGAAGACATTTTAAAATCTGAATATTTACGGTTTGTAAACGATTTAAACTTTTTACAGTTTACTTTTTTCTTTCATCGCCTGTCAGTTTTTTCGGAGTCACAGTGAGTTATAAAGCTGATCAGCTGATCAGCTGATCAGCTGATCAGCTGATCAGTGAAGGATCCTTTGACAGAATCAGGTCACAAATACAAAAGTACAGAAGAGGATTAGGGCGACATGTGAAAACGTTTTTGAGATCTGACAAAAGGGATTCTTTTGGGGGGAATTCTGTGGAAATTCAAAATCCTGACTTTTCTCAAGATTCTGACTTTTCTCCAAATTTAGATTTTTTTTATCTCAGAATTCTGACTTTAATCAAAATGTTTACTTTAATTTCAGAATTCTGACTTTTTCCTCAAAATTCAGACTTTATTCTCAAGATTCTGACTTTTCTCAAAATTTAGATTTTTTATCTCAAGATTCTGACTTTTCTCCAAATTTAGATTTTTTTTCTCCAAATTTAGATTTTTTATCTCAAAATTCAGACTTTTCTCAAAATTCAGACTTTTCTCAAAATTCAGACTTTAATCTCAGAATTCTGACTTTTCTCCAAATTTAGATTTTTCTCAAAATGTTTACTTTATTCTCAAAATGTTTACTTTAATCTTAGAATCAAACATTTTTTGGGTCAGAACTCATTTATTTTCCCGTGGCCCTGATCCTCTGCCGTAAAAAAGGCTGAACAATCAAAATAAAGTTTGCTAAATGTTAATCAAAAGTCATCAATATTAGAGGAGGCACAATATTTGTTAGGAGTGTCAACATGTGTTCTAGTTTATTTTAAGGGTTATTTATTTTACGCTCCAAGAATCGCTACATAAAAAAATGCAATTACATTTTAAACCAAATAAATCTTACATTATAAATCAACTTTTAGTCTTACTCTACTCGAGCGTGCTTTAATATTCCAGAGTTTATAAACACATTTCTGTTGCTATGTCTCATTGCTTTAATTGTCTTTTTTGAATAAATGACATTAAATCTCGTTGTTGCTGACATGTTTTATAGAAACACACTCTCATGCATGTGTTGATATTAGATTGTGTTGATATTAGATTGTGTTGATATTAGATTGTGTTGATATTAGA